AAACCTATGCCTTCATCGGTTCCACATCGCTCACACCCCATGGTCACTCGTGCTCGCCATGGTATTCATAAGCCCATCCAAAAACTTAATCTTCATACTGACACCAGCACCTCTTCTTTATCGCCTCTCCCACGTAATTACTTTGAAGCTTTTCGTGATCCAAACTGGCTAAATGCAATGAAAGATGAATATGATGCACTTATTTCTAATGAGACTTGGGTACTTGTACCTCGGCCTCACAATGCTAATGTGGTTAATTGTATATGGTTGTTCAAGAAGAAATTTAATGCAGATGGGTTTTTAGCTCGATACAAGGCACGATTAGTTGCTAACGGGCGTAGTCAACGCCTAAGTGTTGACTGTGACGAGACTTTTAGTCCTGTTGTTAAACCGGCCACTATTCGGACGGTACTTAGTCTAGCGGTTTCTTATCATTGGCCAGTTCATCAGTTGGATGTGAAGAATGCTTTTCTTCATGGTCATCTTAAGGAGACAGTGTACACGCACCAGCCACCGGGTTTTCGTAATTCATCCACACCGGACCATGTCTGCCTCCTCCAAAGATCTTTATATGGGCTCAAGCAAGCACCTCGTGCCTGGTATCATAGATTTGCTCAGTTTATCACTCGTTTCAGTTTCACAAATAGCAAATCAGATTCTTCTTTATTTGTCTATAGACATGGTGACCACATTGCATATCTGCTTTTATATGTTGATGATATCGTTTTGACTGCATCATCCACAGGTCTTCTTCAACAAGTTATTACAACCTTACAGTCTGAGTTTTCCATGACAGTTCTGGGTACGCTAAACTACTTCATTGGTATTGTTGTTTCTCGGGATCGACAGGGCATGTTTTTATCTCAGCAAAAATATGCAACTGATATTTTGGAACGTACAAACATGGCTAACTGCAAATCTGCTCGTACTCCTGTTGATACCTCTGCCAAATTTGACGGCTCAAGTCCTCCAGTCTCCGACCCGACCCTCTATCGCAGCCTCGCTGGTGCTCTTCAATACTTGACTTTCACTCGTCCGGATATCTCCTATGTTGTTCAACAGGTCTGTTTATACATGCGTGACCCGCGGGAACCCCATTTGTTTGTGCTTAAGCGGATTCTCAGATATATACGGGGTACTTTAGATCATGGCCTACAACTCCATGCTTCTCCATCTCGTGGGTTACTTGCTTACTCAGATGCTGACTGGGCTGGGTGTCCCTCTACCCGACGCTCCACCTCTGGTTACTGTGTTTTTCTTGGTCCGAATCTCCTTTCATGGTCTTCAAAGAGACAAGGCACGATTTCTCGGTCTAGTGCCGAAGCTGAGTATCGTGGTGTTGCGAATGCAATTGCTGAGATGTGTTGGTTGCGCAACCTGTTACGTGAATTGCTTTATCCTCCCTTGTCTACTACTTTGGTTTATTGCAACAATGTCAGTGCGGTTTATTTGTCTTCAAATCCAGTCAACCATCAAGGCACAAAGCACATTGAGATTGACATTCATTTGTTCGAGACAAAGTCGCTATGGGTCAGAGTCGTGTTCTTCATGTACCCTCATCGTATCAGTATGCTGACATCATCACCAAAGGGCTTCCATCGTTTTTATTTCTCGATTTCAGATCCAGTCTGAACGTTCGTTCGAGACCTCCCGTTCCTACTGCGGGGGGCTGTTAGTGTATATATTATTATATGTGTATAATATTCATAGATAGCCCTTTTATATGTATTACGTATTAGTCAGCCCATGTTTTATACTTAGCCCAATACTTTTGTACATGTATTTATTTGGAATAATGGAATACGGCTCATTATGGGAGAATACCATTTGTAACACATACATATATAAATATACATTGTACATACAAAAATAAAAATAAACAGATTATATAGAAACTGTGGTGGTGTAATCCAACAGAGAAGAGTGGTGGTGGCGGTATTCTGACTGTATGTCTTTTCGTCCTCATCGTGGTCGACATCGCCGGGGACACTGTTGTAGTCGACGTCACCGATGTCGTTGACGTTGATGCTAACCTTCGTCGGTGAAAATCTGAGTACGTCGATGGGGTTTCGCCGTTAAAGGTGACCTTCGCCGCTAAAGGCGTCGGTAGTAATGGCTATTGTTCATGTTGTGTTGGATGCATATAATTAGTTTTACCAAACAATATACTAATTATGTATTTTGTATGTAGGTTTTTAAAACGATTGCATTTGAGTGTGTATGCCGATGCGGATACGGATATGGATACGGATACAGATACGGACACGATACAGATGTGGATTATATTATCTCTAACAATCTTGTTGTTCCAGTTTAAGAATAGTTAGTTAACACCCATTTCAGCATATGTTTTAACACCTGAATGTAAAAACCAACACGATGATCGCAGTATTTGTCAAAATGACAAACTTTTTCACTTTTTGTACAAAATGATCACCAATTTCTGAATGGTTTCGATCGGGATTAACGAAATTGTTGTTTGAATGATCCCCGACACAATGAAAACCTTCAGATTTTGTAGAATATTGAAAAAATAAATCATATATTGCAAGATAAATGTTCAAATATATGATTTCTCTTTGATATTTGAAGCTTTCTTTTTTCCTTTTTTTTTAGAATATTGAAAAAATATATGATTTCTCTTTGATATTTGAAGTTTTCTTTTTTTTTTTTTTTTTTTTTTACTTTTTCGTTTTTTTTTTGTGTGTTGAGACTATGGAAAACCAATTTCACTAATCATAGAATCACTCATTTTTTTTGAACCGGCAAATATAATATATAATCTATTCCTAAACTAACACCTAAATCCACATATGTCCACGACGGACTTGATAGGCCATTTCGTCATTTCGTTAAATCTCTCCTTATAAAATGGTCAATGTTGTTATTATTCCTATTTAAGAATTAAAAATATATAACATCGTACGCTTTTTGTGGTCACATGTGTAAGCAATAATTAGAGCATCTATATTTAGTGGGTTTCTTTTTGAAGGTCCCACCAGCTTCAATAATAAACCAAAAATTATTCTTGGTGTAACCTTTCTATTTACATAAAGATTTCTTAGTTCCTCACTTTCAATTTATTTAGTAATACTTTTTTTTTTTTTTTTGCATTTCAATGTATCAACTTATTCTGTTGAAAGTATATATCAAATGTTTATGATCTGTCACAAATTATAAAAAGAAAATATCGTCAATACTTTAAAACTATACCAACATAGAATATATTTGATATTTACTTCAATCATAAAAAATATTAAAAATGTTTTTGTATGATTTCATATACAAAAGTTACTTTTTTTAAAGGAATTTGATAACAATATTATATTTCGCAGAACACAGAAAATTTTAGTTTTACGTTCTACTTACACCGCTTTTCTTTTTACTTTTATTTGTATTGTATACTCTTATCATTTCAATATATTAACTAAATGTATTAGAACTTTATAACAAAAGATATTATGTCTTACGTCTAACAAATTACATCACTGAAAATCTTAGAGTCGATTCATTAAAGTGGGCCAGAGGGGCAGTTGGGTTTTCCAAATTATACCCTTGAGGACGTGTTTACTATTTTCTGAAGTTTGGAATTCTTTGTGTATTAACTCAACTACCTGGTCGGAATTGGAGCGGTGTTATGACTTATGATCGAGAAAGTTGGGAGACTTTATAGGAAGGGGAGGAAAGAATTGAAATCATTATGTGCATATTTCTTGTTGGTTGACCTTTTCGTCACTTTTTCATTGTTACTTATGAATAGTTGGAAGCCATGGATGATGAGATTAACTAAAGCGTAACTGAAATTTTTACTAGCTAGTTTGAACCGGGATCAAAGCTATGATCTAATACAAGTTCGGTGGTGCCAAAGGCACACTTTTAGTGGCGAATTTGATCCCTGAAATCGAAATGTGGGGGTAAGAGGGCAGAGCCCCTAGAGAGTTGATGTAAAAGATGGAATTTAACTTGGTTAGAATGCAGTAGAAAAACTTTTTCAGAAGTATGGAGTTATAGTTAAAGATCATATGATCTTGTAATGTAACACAAAGAATTGCCTAATATGGACCTGTGATACTAAGTTCTCAAACAGCTAATGGGATTGTTCAAAAACCTGTTGACTGTAGAAAAATTCTGGAAAAAAGTTTTAACTTGGTGATAACCAAAAATAACTTTCAAAAGCCGTATTTTGTCGTCCTTATCCATTTTGTGAGTTTAATTATAAGAGATACTCTGGTTTTTTGGATTAAAGAATTTGATACAACTCCTGCTACGTTTCTTGTGTGTGATTATTTTTATCATGAGAAAATGTCTGTGAAAATCGGACGTAGAAATATTTTTCAAGGAAAGTGATAAACACAATTTGATCACTATCCAAGCAATCAAATTTTCAATATCCTCATGTGCCTCCCACCTATATCTCAATCTAGCAATACCTGCTAAAGTTGGCAACGATTAAGACCTGGAAGGCTGGAATGCAGATTATTAGAATACTCCCATGTGAGTTTACACAATAAAAAAATATCAAAAAATAGTTTATCGAAGCACATTATTAGAAATACTGCCATTGAATTAATGAGACTGCCTTATATGACAGATAAGGTTAGCGGACCAGTAGATTGTGAATATTGAATTATTTAAACATTTTATTCTTGATTAAAGTGCTTCATCTGCAAAAAATACCGATCTAGCGTCAATAATGTTGATCTTGTGGAGCACAACAAATCTCTTCTTTGCTATGAAAGAATGATGTCTTTCCTAAAAGAATGAGGTCTTAATTTAAAGTGGTTTTTGTGGGCACCACACATGTGACCTTTATTATATCTTGATGAAGAAATGTCATAGTAAAATCTTCAGGTAAATAACTTTTGTAATTAATATTCCTTACCTCGTGAAACTTTTTTATATGTGGTGATTACTTTGGAATGATGCGATCTTATAGTGGCTTTGGTGGACCTCACAGATCAACTTCATCTTATCTTTCTATTTTAAAAATATAATAAGTTGGAAGGAGTATTCACAGAAAGAAAGAAAAAAAAAAGATAGAAAAAAAATGGCAAGCTCAAGCTCTAATGAATATGTGACAGTGGAAATTGGAGAAGGAAACACATACCCATACCCATCAAATGTTTATACCCCCAGTTTTATTAGCTTGAAGCTTAGTGGTAGGGATAACTATAGTATGTGGAAAACACAGATGATATGTCTCTTAAAGAGTCATGATATATTTGGTTTCATTGATGGAACATTCATAAGCCCTAATGAAGCCAGAAGTAGTAGTAGTGTTTCCGGAAAGGAGAAAGTGGGTGAGCATCACACTCATCAAAAGCTGTGGACACGATCAGATGCCCTTGTGAAGGGTTGGATTCTTGGTTCTTTATCTGAAGAAACACTCAGGTATGTTCTGAATCGCCTCACAGAAAAACCCCATCAAGAGAGAAATGAAGATCATGATTTCAGTGCAAAAGATGTTTGGCATGAACTGCAGACTATGTATGGTCCTGTTGTTCTTCCGCAAGTGTCACCTGTTGTTGAAGGTTCATCCTATCTCTTGTTTGCTAATCTATCATTAATTTGGGTTGGTGATCATTTAGATAAACGAAAGCATACCACTATTTATATAGTGAAAATGTATAGCCTTTACTGTATAGTAACCCAAAAGGTGAGTCAACCAAGCACTTGTTTTAACAAACAAGCTAAAAGAGATGCAAAGTATACAAATTTAACGGATAAAAAAAGTCTACCTAAAAACAAGATTTTTTTTTTCATCCTCCTTTAAAATCCATAATATACTAGACTACATAAGATCATATATTTTATATCTTGTAGTTTTTTCAACGTATTATGCAAATATAGATACACTACAAGATCGAGACAGAGAAAAGCAAATCCAGATAATATAAAGCATACCACTACTTGTACAGTAAAATATGTCTATATAGCTTTTACTTTTTTTTAAGCTATGACATTTGAATTAAATTTAAATAAAAAAAAAGTTTTACATAGACATAACGGGTAAACGAGAAACAAACTTTTATTGTATAGTCGTAAAAAAGAGTCGACCAAGCACTCGTTTAAACAAGATACAAAGTATACAAAATGGATAAAAGTGTATATACAAACAAGGAATTTTTTTTTCATCATCCTTTAAAATTCCTAATGTTTAGATTAGATTGGATCGCATCAGAGCACATATTTTGTATCTCGTAGTTTTTATCTTGATAACAAAATTATGCAAATATAGATACACTACTACAAGATAAAGACATAGCAGAGGAGCTTCAGAGATTGTACAGGTATACTCACTATGGAATTTGGGATTGGGTCGAAAGAATATTGAGTGAGGGAATGGTTACAGTGATAGACAAAATCACGAATAATGGCAACACCGCACTCCATGTAGCAGTCGGTGCTTCCAAGAAGCCGGAATTCTTAGAGAAATTGTTGGAAAGGATACCGGAGAACACACAACTCATGGATCTAAGAAATTCAGATGGAAGCACGCTGCTTCATGTTGCTGCTATTATTGGCAACACTGAAGCTGCTGACATCTTGGTGGCAAGGGAGCCTGATTTGTTGTTGGCCAAGGACAATGAGGGTCAGACACCACTGGCCCTGGCTCTTTCAAATATGAACACCCAAACAGCCCGACATCTTTTGGAGCACATCAATACTGATACACAGAAGGATGCTCTGTTTTCTGGCACAATTGGCGATGGCCTTCTAGTTACTCTTATTTCCTCTAAAGATTTCCGTAAGTTTCAACTGGACTCAAATTCCAGTAGTGAAAAACCTGCACACTTAATTGATATGGTTGATTTTGGAATATATATATATATATATATATATATATATATATATATATATATATATATATATATATATATATATAGGCTTTGCAATAGATTTGTTGAAGCATTACAAAACATTGAATACTGATGCTGTGCTGATGGCTATAGCTCAAAATTTCCCACGTGAACTCAACCGACTTGAAAATTTTATAGGTTTGTTGTTGTTTTTTTTTTTTAATCTTTAATTAATTGATATGTATGCTCCTTTACATTGTCAAATTATTTATCACTTCACCAAACTTCCTGCACACCACGTTTTATATTAGTTGTAGGGATTGGTGGATTACTTGAGAGTGCATATGAATTTTGTGAAACCATTTGCGATATTATTAATAGCAGACGGGTTTTCAGGTTGATCATTTATGGTAGGTCCAGATTTTATCTTTTCTTAGACTCTTAACTTGTTGGTTGAACATTCTGTAACCCCATCATTCTAACAAACATTCTATCACATGATGCAGGGACTGGCTTCATGCTTATGCCTTTGCTGTTTATCCCTGGAATATTAGGTAAGATGATCAACAAGTACCGTGATATTATTACTAAAAACAAAAGAGAGAAAAAAAGATCTATTTCTTTATTTGAGATGCTCATTTGGATCTATATATGTTGCAGTGTGGTTATTAATTAAAGAGATACTTGAAACTCATCAAGATGCTAGGAGACTGTTGTGGCATGTATCTGGGTGGATAAGGAGTGAAAACACTCCCACCTCTTACCATCACTATTATACAAATCCGATTCTTGAAGCCACCAGACAAAATGCATTCCAAGTTGTAGAAGTTATTGTGTTTCACTTCTCAAATGCATTTTGGAGTGCTAACCAAGATGGTCACAACATTATCCAATATGCTGTGATAAATCGCTCAGAAAAGGTGTACAACCTACTTTATCAGATGAGCGAACATAGGAATATATATCGAACAATTAGAGACTCCTATGGGAATAACCTGTTGCATCTAGCTGCAAGATTGGCACCTATCAACAAACTGAATCTTATATCGGGGGCAGCTTTACAAATACAACATGAATTGCAATGGTTTAAGGTATGAATCTCGATGATTCAAAATTGATATACCTGGTATTAAAAGACATGCCATTAGTATTTATCAGCCATGTGTAACATATTAACATAATGTAATGTTGTAGGAAGTGGAAAAATTCATTTGTCCTCTAAGCGTTATACAAAAAAACTCTTTCAACGAAACACCACAAATGATATTTACTAGAGAACACAAGGAGTTGGTGATTGAGGGAGAAAAATGGATGAAGTCCACTGCGGAATCCTACACAATCACAGCTGCATTAATCATTACCATTGTGTTTGCGGCAGCAATTACAGTGCCAGGAGGAACCGATCAAGACACCGTGATACCAGTTTTTACCAATAGCACCGCCTTCACAGTATTTGCAATATCAGATGCCATATCATTGTTCGCAGCTGTTACTTCATTGTTAATGTTTTTGTCGATTCTCACTGCACGTTTTGCTGAACAAGACTTTCTCTTTAAGTTGCCTACAAAGTTGATAATTGGTTTGGCTACCTTGTTCATCTCAACCACAGCCATGATAGTAGCTTTTGGTGCTACTTTGTACCTTGTATTTGGCCAAAGGAACTCAAGGATTCTTATTCCAATAGCTGTCTTGACATGCCTACCAATTACTTCCTTTGTGACCTTGCAGTTCCCTCTCATCCTATACTTGATGAGTGCCACATATGGTCGTAGTATTTTTGGTAGGAACAAAAGTTATTATGGTTTCTTTGATAAAGTATTTTTGGAGGAATATTGATTTGATAAGAAATTGGGAAATTAAAGATCGAAATTATAGAGCAAGTTCTGGAATGCCTTGTAATATTAGGCTTAATGCTTAGAAAATAATCTAGTTATCTCATCACTATACACCGTTATACACTTATACTAATACCCAAACATATAATTGCATCTTAAGTTTTATTGTTTCTAGATATGTTTTCTACTTTACTCGCAACAATATTAATGAAATGATCAATATCCATCAGTTTCTGCTTCTGCTTCTGATCTGATTTTCCCATGTCCTGGGATTGTCCATTCTTTCAACCCCTCATAATCGATCTGCTGATTTTCCCATGTCGTGGGATTGTCCATCCTTAAAAATGATAGTAATCATCCAATTCTTCACTAAATAACAATTTCCCAAAAAAAAGGTTTATCAATAAAATAGCAATGAAACCACCCTTATCAATGGAACAAATTACGTCATTCTGTCTAAATTAAATTACCAATAAACAACCATATATAGTTGTTCAGATAAAGTTTTTAACCCACTAAGCTCATTAAGTAAAAAAAAAAAACAACCCTATCAATGGAACAAAAAAATTGCAATTTCTTCTCTCATCCAAAAAAGTGAAACAATATGGGGATAAAAATTTACTCTCAATCTTCCATTTCTGCAAAAGATATAAACGCCCTTCTCATCCTCCTAATAAAAAATAGCCCTAAAAAGGTAGACCAGTCAAATTAACTACTAACTAATACAACAAATAAAGCATGGACATTGATAGTACCATATTATCTAATAAAACCAAATATTAGACATATAGATCATATTTACAACATAATTATCTATACATAACCCAAAAACAAGCAAAAAATCTATTTTTTTAATCCAAAAACCATGAAGACACCATTCAAAATTTACCCATTGGTTAGCCAAGAAACTTCCATTCCTTCTCTCCAAATTCCCCATTTCCAATTCACTTCCGGCCACTGAGCTGTACACCTTGAGATAAAGCTTTTCGATACATTAGCAATAACATCATGATGTATAAGCAATGAAACATCAACCAACTCCACACATTGATCCAACAAAGAAGCAACCGATGAAAAAGTCAACAAAGGGTCAACCAACAACAAATATGCACAAAATGTTTTCAACCCTTTTCTCCCATCCCAACTCTCCCAACTTTCCGCATCATAACACGCCTCTAATTCCGACCACAAACTTGAGTTAATACATAAAGAATTCACATTCGGGAAAACCTTGAACACCTTCTCAAGGGTAAATTTGGAAAACCCAACTGCCCCTCTCTCCCACTTTCTTGAATCAACTGTTAGATTTTCGACTGTTTTTGTAAATGGGAATTTTATGAGTAAGGAACCAATGTATAAAGACTCGAGCCAAAGGGTTTTTAAATTTAAGAACTTTTTGATTGTAAATGAGTCAGCATGATCAAGGGCAAGATGGAGATGAGATAACATGGGAGCTTCGATGTAAAGTGAAGTGGGTTTTATGCATTTGAGTCTTAGTGTGATGAGAGTGGGTGTGATTAGGGTTAAAGATGATGGGGCATTCGATACAGTCCAGTGACAGGTTTTGAGGTTAAGAAGGTTGATTTTGGGGAGTTTGAGACCTCCGACACCTACCAAGTTAAGAACTTGAAGATTTGGGAAGGATTTGTTCAACATGTTTAGGTCTTCATCGTCTAATCTTATGAATTCAAGTGTTAAAGTTGTTAGCATTGGCATTGGGTTGATGTTTTCTACTGATAGCCATGCGTTCTTCACCTCTAATTCAAGAAGATTATGACCTGCATCAATCAAAATTGCGTGCATCGATTAACTAGCAATCATCAACACCAGGTGAAATTAAGAACATATGAAGGTACATGAGCTTCCTAATTGATTGTCAGATCATAGAGAGGGGGTTTATCATTTCGCATCAGTAGAGAATTGAATTTTACAATATACTAACAGCATCAGAGGATGAAGAACATGAAATAGAATTCTTGCATATATGATGAACTTACAATACGCAGAAAGTAGAGGCAACAGGTCCGATCGACGCCAACAAGATTGAATCCAAAAGTCAGAAATTGAAAGCGATTTCAACCTTCCGCAAACCCTAGGTAGCCACTCCTTAACAAAATCTCCATGGGTGAGGTACAGATCATCATCCTCATCCTCAACGTCATCGTACGACACATTTCGGAGTGGTTTGTCGGTGCCTATACACACCGAATCGACAACCCTCAAATTCGATACAAGATTGAGGAAAATTGTCTTGAAGGGAGTAACAGATTGTGACGAACTTGAAGAATTCGATAACTTAGACCTTGATTTGATGTACCTTTCCAATGAACATTGAATATTGATTGATCGAAGTTCTGGAGAGACAATATCGAACGTCTTCCAAGCTAGTCGGCAGCGAGCTACGTCGGCCGAGTCGTCGAGTCGACTCAGTATATAGAGGGCTATATCATCGGGAAGTTTGTCCATGGACTGAGAGATACACAAGAAAAGAGAAAAAAACGGGTTAGAAATACTTATGAGTTATGTCCCTTTATTTTACCATAACATCACGTTATATTGGTAACTGGGTGTTAAACCCGTGTACCACACGGATTGATTAAAAAAAATTATAAATGAAGATATAAACTTTAAATATTTTCTTTAAAGAAAACATTAAATATCAAAGTGTACACATTAAGTATTTTTTAAAATAAAATTTCAAAATATATATACAAACAAAATGATGAATAAATAAATAATTCAATTTATATTAATAAAACAAACTACAGAAAAATAATTATATTTTGACCATATAACATTTTTTTAATTTGTCAATAAAAAGCAACAAAGTTTGATTTTTTTTTATATTTTGACCATATAACATTTTTTTTAGTTTGTCAATAAAAAGCAACAAAGTTTGATTTTTTTTATACAGACCATTTTGCCTAAAATGACAATGAACTTTAAAAAAAACATGTCAATTTTGAATTATATATATTAAAGGAAACATATTAAAATTTGAAAATATAAGGAAACAAATTAATGACACATTAATTACTTTCTATAACCTAAAAATTAGATAGTTAATTAAGAAAATAAAAAAATTACCACAAAATGACAAGTGAAAATTAATTTCTAAGAATTAACCACAAAATTACATGTGTTCAAATGCATAAGAAATTGACAAGTGGCAAAAGTTCTTTATTTATTAGCGAGGATATGTTATAAAAAGAATATGTTTATAAAAAGAATATATATATATATATATATATATATATATATATATATATATATATATATATATAGGGCGAAGTTCAATAGAGAACCATAATTAACCAAGGAACCAATCTTTTTTTTAACTTCTAACTTATTTTTTATAAAAAAAAAAACTAAAAATACAGAAATTAATAACTTTTTATCCTTTTTTCAATGATATCAAATTCGATTTTTTTTACGTCAAATTCACAATATGAATCTTTAAAAATACACAATGTGAATCCGGATTCACACAGTGAATCCGAAAAATATTTTTCACATTCACAATGTCAATATATGAATTTAGATTTTTTTAGATTTTTTTTTCGATAAACAATAAGCTCTAGAAATTGAAAAAAAGATTTGGTTCCTTGAATAACCAATATTATGGTTCTCTATTGAACTTTTCCTGTATATATATATAGATATATATATATATATATATATATATATATATATATATATATATATATATATATATATATATATATATGGTTGAGATCGGTTGAGAACTCATAGTTTCCCGAGAACTTGAGAACTAAATGTGGAGCGTTAGATCAAAATTAACTCATTAAGGGCATTATCGTAATCTTACCGATCTCATTTAATGTTTATTTTTTTGTGTTATTGGACAAAATTAACATAATAAATCAAATATCGGATTTTAATAACTTTTTTTAAAATGGAGCTTTTTTAATTTTTTTTTCAGAAAACAAGAATTTTTAAAAAAAAATGAAAAATGTAATTTTAAAAAAAAACTGCAATTTTTTTAAAAAAATACTTTTTTAAATAATTAAAAAAATGCAACTTTTTCAAAAAAACCTGCAATTTTTTTATAAAAAAAAACTGTATTCTTTTTTTCAAAAAAAAAAACTGCAATTTTTTCAAGAAAAAAACTTCAATTATTTTTAAAAAACTGCATTTTTTTTTCAAAAAACAACTTCAATTTTTTCATAAAAAAACCTGCAATTTTTTATAAAAACAACTGCATTTTTTTCAAAAAATAACTGCAATTTTTTCTTATACTATAATATTCGTAAGTAATCATAAAAGACCTTATTTTTATCAATCAATCTATAAACATAACGGTACAAGTATTTTGTTCGATACCAAATAATATATAAAAAATAAAAAAAGCTTCAAAGATTCACAATGTTATCATTTCTTCATATCAAGATTTCCATATTTTCTTCAATTTATCATTTTTTGCATCTTCAAAATTTTCCACAAATTCTTTCAAATCTACAAGAAAAAAAAAAAAAATGATTAATGCAAGAACACTCACAAATAAAATATGATTTACATGTGAATCACATATAATTTATATGTGATTTACATGTGAATCACATATAATTCATGTGTGATTCACTTGTGATTTACATGTGAATTACATATAATTCATATGTGATTCATTTGTGATTTACATGTGAATCATATGTAATTTATATGTGACTTACATGTGAATTACATATAATTCATATGTGATTCACTTGTGATTTACATGTGAATTACATGTGATTCATAGGTGAATTACATTTGATTCATATGTAATTCATATGTGATTTATATGTGAATCACATGTAATTTATATGTGATTTACATGTGAATCACATATATTTCATGTGTGATTCACTTGTAATTTACATGTGAATTAAATGTGATTCATATGAGAATTACATGTGATTCACATGTAATTCATATGTGGTTCATTTGTGATTTACATTCACATGTAATTCATATGTGATTTACATGTGAATCACATATATTTCATGTGTGATTCACTTGTGATTTACATGTGCATTACATGTGCATTACATGTGATTCATATGTGAGTTACATGTGATTGACATATAATTCATATGCGATTCATTTGTGATTTACATGTGAATCACATGTAATTCATATGTGAATTACACGATTTTATAAATATTCAAGGGATTTAATGGTGAAAAATAGTTTGGTTAGTACCTGCATCTAGGTGTTGTCTTGGACATGTTCTGAAGGGTTTTCTGCTACCACCAGACACCAAAAAAAATTCAGAGAAACTTTTAAAAATCTAAACCTAATAGAAGCTTAATTGCACAAAAAACAAATAATTAAATTCAATAATTATCCCACAAACTACAAAATGGCTATCTAAACCTTTGAATTCATAAAATAAAAATAACAGAAAACATACTAACAATAGACAAAATAGAGGGATAACCGTCGAAATTATAGCCATCACGTCCTCTAATTGCATCTCGAGCATTTGCAAACTATAATTTTAACAATTCAGAAATGAGCATTAAAACTATTGTAGTATTTCATTAGGGTTAATGTCATAATTCATAAAATTGGCAATTCAAAACTATAAAAATATGAACAAACTACATTGGTGTTTTGTGAAAAAATAAATAGTTTGTTACCCATTTCATTAATAAGAGAATGAAATATAAATCTTAATACATTACCTCAACAAAACAATAACAAGGAGGACGAGGTGGAATCTTTAATTCTATGTCCAATATGCGCCCATACTGCATGAAGCCGAAACTTACATAAGGAAAAAAAATCACACATATTTGAATTCATAATATAATTTTCAACATCTGTGAAATTCCAATTTTAATTCAAATTTCAAGAACTATAAACAAATGTGAAATTGAATATCAACATATTCAATTCAATTAGCATCTGTTTGCAAACATAGAGAATAGAGATCAAGAAAAGAGAGAAATAACACAGGCCTGGTAATACACCAGAAACTTTGCAAAAAAAAAAACGAAATATCATTATCATCATGTCTAGTTTATAAGCTAAATGAAAGTATCAGGATAAGAAACTTAACCTGGAAATGTCTCTGTGCAGAAAAATGAAAATTCCCTTCTAAAATAACAGTAACATCATTTATTTGTCATCACTGCAATTTGAGATACCTTGAAACTGAACCCAGAGAAGGCAAATCAAAAGCTATGGATTGTTTATGCCAATATTGTTGTTGTTCCTACTGTTGTTGCTTGCGATAGGCCAATTGAAATGCATCATCACCTGGATAGCATCCTTTGAGTAGTACCTTCCATAACCTGATACAACAAGTGTAGAACATGCGCGAAAGAAAAATGCATCATCAATACATTTGAAATGTAACGGTAAAATGGTCATTTAGTCCCGTTCAGATGGTTTATTGGGTCTAGAAAAAAAGACTTTATGTATATAGTACTTTATGCAGACAGACATTTCTCATTTAGAACTTAATGAGGAAAAAAGAAAGAAAGATCTCCAAAGAGTATTGCTGACTCTGGTTACTAATAAACTAGAAGTGGCATGGTCTCTACCTTTAATTTTTTCAGCAGAAAAGGCGTTGAATGTTGATTGAACAAAATTGTGCAAGTAATAAGGTTCCTGAAAAAATTCAAGTTCAATCACATCAGTTTGCTAGTTAAGATGAAAACAACCAAAACATGTATCAACATATTCTGTCAAGAGAACATGGATATTGGTAAGTTACAAGTAAAAATAACACAAAGGAGCATGTCAAATGAATGACTTTTTGTCCCTAAGAATGACTTTTTTCATTTGGATAAGTTGCTAACTAGAGGTCTGGGGAAGGAATAGTAGATCTTTGCATCCAATATATTGTGTTTTTAAGTTATGCAACAATTCCTTGTCTTTTGTTCTGAACTTGAATTAAACATGAATTCATAGATTTCTCATAGCCATTTACTGCTGACTGCTGACTGCTGAACTATACCAGCTTAGTTTCAAGTAAGATGTATTTTATTTTTTATAAAAATAATAAAAAAAAAGGACAAATTTAGCTTAATTGGGCTCAGTATCCAAAGTGTACATGGTTGAATGCCCATTTTCCTACCATATTTGATCTCTGATCAACTAATAACTCTTATCATTTTTGCCTCTATTATGTAAACCTGAAGAGAAATATTACCTCAAACAGGCGATCTAAGAAGAAGTGGGATAAAGAACCAGCTGATATGAGTAAGAAACATTGGTTCAAGGTAAGGGGGGTCTGCACTAAAGCATCAGAAATAATGAAAATATTGTAAGAGGTTGTTGAATTTTAGAGCACAAAAACATTTGGACTAGACTGTTATAATA